ACCCTCAGGTCCTGAGAGTTGGCTTTTTCGTCGGTATGGATTGTCCTCAATGTGCCTATCGTTACTTCCATTGGGAGCATCGCCTCTGCTCCATATGTTAAGTTGAATGGGGTTTCCTGTGTGCTTGTTCGTGGAGTGGTTCTGTATGACCATAGTACCGTCGGTATTTCCTCGGCCCAATTTCCTTTGGCCTTCCCCAACCGTTTCTTGATCCCATTCACAATGGTTCGGTTCGACACTTCCGCTGGCCATTTTCTGTGGATGCGCTACCGATGTGAATCGTTGGTTGATTCCTTTGCTGATGCACCATTCCTTGAACGGATTCTCAGCGAATTGTAGCCCGTTGTTACTGACAAGTGTCTTAGGCATGCCGAATCTAGTCATGATGTTTTTCCACACAAATTTGATCATCTGCCTCCCAGAAATACACGCCAATGGCTCCACCTCGATCCATTTCGTGAAGTAATCCACCGCAACCACCATGTATTTTAACTTTCCCGGCGCCTCCGGGAATGGTCCTACAATGTCTATCCCCCACTGGTAAAACGGCCAGGGACTAGATATGTTGGATAGGGGTACCGGAGGGTTTGCTTGGACTGGGGAAAATTCTTGACACTCCCCACATTTCCTTGTTAGCTCTGTCGCGTCCTGGTATGTTGTGGGCCAATAGATCCTCATCCGGAGCACCTTTCCTGTTAAGGCGCGTGCGCCTTCGTGTGCGCCCGCCTGGCCTGCGTGCGCTTCCCGGAGCGCCTCTTTCCCTTTGGCTTCGTCTACACACCTTAGCCATGGGCTTGTGAACCCTTTTCGATATAGTTCTCCGTTTATTAGCACGTATGAGGGTGCCTTTATGCGTATCTTTCTGGCCTCGTCATGATTATCCGGCAGAACATCCTGTTGTAAATATTCGACCAGCGGTGTCATCCACGTGGGTGCAGCCGTTGTGAGGGTGCTTACTTTTCGTTCGTCTATGCTTCTTTCTATGAGTACTTCAACCAGGACTTTCTTTGACAAGTGATCGAAACATGTCGATGCTAATTTGCTTAGGGCGTTCGCCCTCCTGTTCATTCCTTGGTATTTGTTTAATCGTGAACTCCTTGAAAGATTTAGTGAGTTATTGTACTATCTTGACGTACCTCTCCATCCTTTTGTCCCTTGTTTCAAAGCTCCCGTTAATCTGATTGGCGGCCAGTCTAGAATCCTTCAGGGCCGCTTCAGCCTCTGTCCCCATTTGTTTGGCCAGCCCTAGTCCAGCAAGCAGGGCTTCACATTCCAACTCATTTTTCGAGGTGTTGAAATAGAAGCGAAGAGCTTAGGTGACCTCTTCTCCCTCTGGGCTGGTCAGGATTAGGCCTGCTCCTGAGCCCTCTCTGTTGGATGTTCCATCGGTGTACAGCGTCCACTTCCGATTGTTCTCCGGGATTCCTTTTACTACCATGATTCCTTCTTTGGTTGCGTCTCCCCCGCCAGGGATTTCGAGCAGGAAATCTGCCAACGCTTGCCCCTTGATGCTCGTTCTCGGGTGATAACTGATGTCGTGCTCACCTAATTCAATTGCCCATTTTGCGAGTCGGCCTGATGTTTCTGGCTTGAGCAGTATCTGTTTGATCGGGCAGTTCGTCAGGACTTCGATCTGGTGTGCTTGAAAATAGCGTCTCAACCGTCGTGCAGCGTAAATGAGTGCTAGCACTAGCTTCTCTAAAGTGGGGTAGTTGAGTTCGGGGCCTTGTAGCGCTCGGCTAACGAAGTACACCGACTTCTGCTCCCCCTCCCTTTCTACGACTAAAACGGAGGATATGGCCTCATTTGAGGTCGAGAGATATACCTGCAGCGTTTCGCCCGGGATAGGGCTGGCTAATGTGGGTAACTTGTGCAGGGCTTCTTTGATCTTATGGAGCGCTGACTCTGCTGCCGCCGTCCACTGGAAGTTACTTTTCTCAATACAGCCCTTTAGCATGTGGAAGAGCGGCATGGCCTTGTCAGCCGACTTCGAGATGAATCTACTGAACGTCGTGAGTTTCCCGTCCAGGCCCTGTGCGTCCCTCAAGGTGTTTGGAGGTGGGGTCTCCATGAACTCGTCCACTTTGACTAGGCTGGGCGGGATGCCTTGTCTGGTAACATAATATCCCAAGAATTGCCCCTCTTCAACCCCAAAGGTACATTTGCCTGGGTTCAACTTCATCTTCGCCTTTTCCAACGTTCTGAAAGTTTCTTCAACGTCTCGTAACATTTTTGCCTCATCCGGGCTCTTAATAACCATGTTGTCGACATATACCTCGATATTTCTTCCAATTTGGTTGGAGAATATCGAGTCGACCAATCGTTGATACGTTGCCCCCGTGTTCTTTAATCTAAACGGCATCTTGGTGTAACAAAAGGTGTCGTGGTCGGTGTAGAAAGCTGTCTTTTCCTCGTCTTCCTTGCTCATCAGAATCCGATGATAACCCTTATATGCGTCTAGAAAGCACTTTAGCTTGAAACCCTGTAGTGACTCCACCTTCTGGTCGATTTCTGGTAGGGGATAGCAATCCTTGGTGCACGCCTTGTTTAGGTCGGAGAAGTCGATGCACATGCGCTATGACCCGTCATGCTTTCGTACCTTGACGGGATTAGCGATCCAGGTTGGGAAGACCGCTTCTCGCAGGATTCCCTCTTGCGTTAGCTTGGCTACTTCCGCATTGATTGCCCAGTTACGGTCTCCCCCTTGGACCCTCTTCTTCTGTTTGATTTCCTTTGTGCCTGGCTTGATCATGAGCTTATGCTCTATAACTTTCCTGTCTACACCGACCATGTCTGTAGGAGTCCATGCAAACACGTGTTTATACCGTCTGAGCAGGTCGATGAGCGCCTGCCTGGTGTGCCCTAGGAGGCCACGACCAATGTTGATCGGCTGGTCGGGATATTCTTCTTTAATCACCTCCTTCTCGTTTGTTGATTCAGACCGTGCTTTCTTGGTTTCTCTTGTTATCTCTGCTGGTTGCATAACCGTAAAGTATTGTAGTTCCTTTGGCGGCGTGGCAAGAATCGTAGTCGGGCCCTCAGTAGTGCTGAATTTCACAATTATGTGCATTGTTGATAGGACGGCTCCTAGCTTGAGCAGGGTTGTCCTTCCCAGGATGATGTTATGCTCTGCTGAGTGCCAGATTACAACGAAATCGACCAGGACCGTTTTCTTTCGCTGCTTATCGTGGCTGGTTAGCGTGAGAGGTAGGTGGATTGTGCCGAGCGGCCATAAGCTGTGTCCTGTAAATCCTACCAGCCTTCCTGTTGTGGGCCTCAGGTTGTCCTTCCACCGGTCCGGAAGGAGGTAAAGTTTATACCTGAGAGTCGAGGACCGTCATCAGTAAATCGACCAGGACCGTCATCGGTCACTTAAGACACGCGGCCAGGTTCGTTCCTACTCGACGAGTCAGGGCATCCAACTTGTCGAGTAGACCTTTCAAAATGAATATAAGGTTGTAAAGTTTATACCTGAGAGTCGGGGTGTTACAATTCTCCCCCACTTGAACTAGACTTCGTCCTCGAAGTCCGCTGTGGTGATCAACTCTGGGTAATACTCCCGCATCTCAGCTTCCGGCTCCCAAGTCCACTCAGATCCCCTCTGGTGCTCCCATTGTACCTTTACCAATGGTACTTCCTTGTTCCGTAGAACCTTCGCTTTCCTCTCCAGAAAGGCCACTGGCCTCTAGGACCGGCTCCCAGTTCTTTTAAAAGAACATATTTGTCCCAACTAGAAGGCTCAAGTATATAAATCAAAGCATACAAGTTGGCAATTTAGAATTTATGACATGGATTCAACTTAAGGAGTAGGCTCCAATTCCATAACCATGCTCTTTGTGAAGTCGAATTTAAGTCTATAAGCTAGTTGATAGCAATGGAGAATACCAACAAGGTGTGAAAGTGTGAAAGACTTCAATCATCAGTGAAGATTAAATCATCCCTGTATAGTTGGTGTGAGATTGTAGGTGTGCTTCTAGTATCATCACATGTAACGCCTCCATTGCAATTATGAATAAGAAATGTGATAATCTCCTTTTCTTACACCTTTTTGTACAATAAATTCCTTCATTGGAGAGCCGTTAACGAGGACTAAAGATCTTGATGAGGAGAGGCAACCCCGAAGCCATGTGTTCCAAGTGATTGGGAAACCTATCTGCATCATAATTGAATCGAGAAAGTCCGAATTGAGTGATTCAAAGGCCTTTTCAAAGTTTACCTTAAAGAATATGGTCTCTATCTTTGTCTTCATGGCCCCAAAATAGAATTCATTCACCACCATAGGTCCACCGAGGATCTTGTGGCCTGCTATAAATGTTGATCGAGTGTTGCTAATGATTGAACCAATGAACCACTTCAATGTGTTTGCAAGCATCTTGGCAGTGACTTTATAGAAGATCTCAAAATGAAGCCCTTGGCTCTAAATCCAAGCAAGCCTTACAGCTTATAATAATATAGTATATAATATATGGAAGTACATGCAACTACAATGCATAATCTTCACAAAGTACTTTATATGTATGCCTCACACTAGTTCATTACGTGCTAAAGCATGTACAAATGTTCCTAATCCAAGATATGCATTTTTATATGCATCGCCATTGCAGTAACTAGAATGGTTGCTTTACTCACTTCATTTGTTTCTAGATCCTACACCTCAAAATTCAAAATAGGAAAAGCTTTCTTTACGATTTAAATCCATAGTGTAATTACAAAAGGAAACACGATATACTAGTTTAGATCGCACAAAATCATAACTATTGGTAACGATTTTGACCAATTAACTTCTTAATTAGTAGATTTGGGTTACGTTAAGATAGGAAAATCTGCTTGAAAGGTAATTGGACAAAAACATCTCATGACTCATCAACGATCAAACACATAAAATACAAAATCTAGAAAGATCTTTAAGTATCAAATTACAAATTCACCAAAACTCAAACAATACATGAACTTTATCTAAACTCTCCGTTCTTCGTTTTATTGTTTTACCTATCAGAAACTTAACAAACTTCCTTAGCGGCTGCTATAACAGCTTCAACTGTTATCCCATACTCCTTATATATCTTTCCCGCAGGTGCACTTGCCCCAAATTTATCAATCCCAATCACCTTCCCTTTGCTTCCAACTATTCTTTCCCACCCAAAAGTCGACCCGGCTTCAATACTGACCCGACCCGTGACACTACCCGGAAGTACACTCTCTTTATACTCATTAGATTGTTCATCAAAAAGCTCCCAGGACACAAACGACACAACCCTAACCGATTTCCCATCCTTTCTAAGCTCATCCGCAGCTTTAACCGCAATCTCAAGCTCGGACCCGGTTCCGATCAAGATAACATCGGGCGTGTTGCCCGAAGAATCATCGGATACAATATAACCACCTTTCGCTACACCTTCGATTGATGTTCCGGGCAGGTTGGGCAGCTTTTGTCTCGAAAGGGCAAGCACAGACGGTCGCTTACGGTTTTCTACTGCGACCTTGTATGCTCGGCCGTTTCGTTTCCGTCGGCCGGTCGGAGCATTAAAATATTAGGCATCGCCCGGAAACTGGCGATGTGTTCAATGGGTTGATGGGTGGGGCCATCCTCACCCAGCCCGATGGAATCGTGGGTCATCACGTAGATGACCCTGGTTTCAGATAAAGCTGAGAGGCGCATAGCGCCTCTCATGTAATCGGTGAAAACGAAGAAAGTAGCACAGTACGGGATGAATCCCGGACTGTGCAGGGCGATGCCGTTACAAATGGCGGCCATTCCGTGTTCACGGACACCAAAGCGGACGTTTCGTTCTTCCGGAGCGTTCTTTTGGAAGTCACCGAACATTTTCATTAGGGTCATGTTGGAAGAGGCGAGATCGGCACTTCCACCGAGGAGCCCCGGGAGAACGGGTGCTAATGCGTTTAGGCATGATTGTGATAGGTTTCGGGTTGCATCGCCGGGAATATCGGGCGTGTATTTCTATAGAAAACAACCAAAAGTTATTCGATGGTAGGGTAAATGTATGAAATAGCAACGTACCTATCCTTTCTTTGTTTATTATAGCATCCTACTTTCATTTACTTGTATTACAACAGTATAACTTTCAATTTTTTTTATTACTATAATATTGTACTTTGAAAAACTTTAAAAAAATTATAATAACGAAGATTGCTTTGTATTTGGATGATATTGTTATAATTGGGTAGATTTTTCAAACTACAATAATTTAAGTACGATGCTAATATAAACAAATAAAGTAAAGTGTGTTGCTATTTCTTGCCTTTAACCATTTTAATTTAAGTTAAATGCAAGAAATAGCTATGGACTTTCTTTTGTTTCTATAACAGCATTGTACTTTAAAAAAAAATCTTTTAAAGACATTCTACATCGAAACATCTACCCATTTATGGCATATACTTACAATTACTTTTTCCTTTTTAGTACCTTGTACCTTGAAAATCTACTCAATTATAACAATGAAAATGGCTTCGTATTGATGAAATTGATATAATTGGGTTATTTCAAACCACAATGTTGTAATACGCTGAAATGAAAGTAGGATGCTATAACAAAACAAATAAATGAAAGTATCATGCTATATATATTGCATTTTACTTTCAATTTTAGGCTAAATCCATGTAATAGCAATGTACTTTAATGTATTTGTTTATTATAGCATCCTACTTCCATTTCTTTCTGTTACAACATTTTCTTTTACCTTTTTTGGTATTAAATATTAATGCGTTTATTTGAAAAATCTACAGAATTATATCCTCATTCTTTCAACTTATTTCTTATTAGTACATTGTACTTTGAAACATCTCCCAATTACAGCAATGAAAATTCTTTTGTAATTAGATAACATTGCTATAACTAAGTAGATAATTCAAACTACAATGTTTTAATAAGAAGAAATGAAAGTACATTGCTATTTCTTTCATATTGTTATAATAAAAAAAATTCTTACAGGAAGAGCTTTCTCCCAACCGTTTGGGAGTACCCCATCAGCAATAGACTTCAACTCGGCTGCATCTTCAGCATACTTCTTCTCATATTCACCAAATTTCACATTCCATTCGGATTCTAGAGCTGCACCCTCAGCAGTATGGCGACTCCAATGCCTACAAAGTTTCATTTATTTCAATACTTATTTTTCTCAACACTTGTTATCTACTTTCTCCAAATCTCATTGATTTGGGAATAAAATAATAAAAGAATCATAATCATAATCTCTTTCACTTACTTCTTCACATCCTCAGGAACATGGAAAGGCTCATAAGGCCATCCAAGGTTTTGTCTTGTTGCATCGACTTCTTTTGCACCCAATGCAGCTCCATGAACACTGTATGAATTCGCCTTGTTTGGTGACCCAAACCCGATTGTTGTTGTCACCTAAGAGTAACACCAATCAAACACTCAATTTTTACAGGTTATAAAACAAAACAGATTATAGTTGGCAATGTGACAAAAACAACAATTTTTGTCTCACTTAAAAAGATGTAACGAGATGGGACAGCGATTCGCTCTAGATCTCTCATTTGTGAAAAAGACGTAGATGCCCTTGCCATTCTCATCATCGAAAATAGCCCTAAAAAACTTGTACAGTCTTATCCAGTTCAATCGTGTCCCGCGTAACACGGGACTAGATTGGATAAGACCGCACAAGTTTTTTAGGGCTATTTTCGATGATGAGAATGATAAGGGCATTTACGTCTTTTTCACAGATGAGAGATTGAGAGTGAATCGTTGTCCCATCTCGTTACATCTTTTTAAGTGAGAAAAATTTTTGTCAAATACACATGAAACGCATTCCATTCTCTGGCCAATGTAGCGAACGACTGACTGTGTTTGGCATGTATTGGACTGATACGTATACGTAACTACTGATGTCAATGGGACAAAAACTGCAATTTTTTGTCCCACCCTTTTTAGGGTGGGATAAGGACTCCTTTCGATCTCTCATCTGTGCAAAAGACATGAATGCCCTCCTCTTCCATGCCAGTTCAGCCAAATGCAGTACAACCTGTTTTGTTCTGTCATGTCCTGTGTAACAAACACAGGACCCAAAGTCACAAAGTTACTGACCTTGATCAAAGTTGGTTTATCAGTAACAGCCTTTGCCTCTTTAATCGCAGCACGAATATCATCATAACCATTGTTCCCATTCTTGACCCAAACAATATGCCAACCAAGGGCTTCAAAACGTCTGTCAACACTCTCTGTAAAAGCAATCTCAGTGTCACCATCAATGGAAATGTGATTATCGTCATAAAAAGCAATTAGTTTCCCGAGTCCCCAGTGACCCGCGAGTGAACAAGCTTCATTTGCAATCCCCTCCATTTGACAACCATCACCAAGGATACAATATCTAAAGCAACATATCACATGGGTATTTTATCATATTCGTTTTTTATGTTTTCAAAAAAAGTAAAATGGAGATTGAGATTGAGATTGAGATTGTACGTGTAGTGGTCAACAATCTTGGCATCTGGCTTGTTGAATCGAGCAGCCAAGTGCTTTTCTGCAACTGCAAGACCAACTGCATTGGCAATTCCTTGACCAAGTGGACCTGGAAAATATCAAACAAGAGTAAACACAAATGGGCCTAGGGTTTAGGGTTTAGGGTTTAAGGTTTAGTATGCTCCATACACATTTTCTTTCGAGCGAAGAATATGTCAAGCAGTACAAAACTTAATGGTTTTTTTACTGTGTTTGACATGCATTAGACTGTGACTGATTGGACTGTGACAAAAGCTGCAAGATTTGTCCCACCTAAAAAGATGGGACATAGATTCGCTTTGAGTCTTTAGTCAATGGAAAACACCTAAATCTCCTCCTAATCCTTATCATAAAAAATAGGACAACTATGCGCGACATGTATATGTATATGTATATGTATATGTATATGTAAGAGAAAAGTGGAGTGACCTGTAGTGACTTCGATACCCGGGGTTTCAAAGTTCTCAGGGTGGCCAGGAGTTTTGCTTCCCCATTGACGGAATTGCTTCAAGTCTTCTTCCTATACCATCAATCCATATTACTTGTTACCATGGATGAAAGTCTAACTATATGCTTTTATGGTGAAAAAAAAAAGGAATTGGGATATAAAGATACAACTTTGTTTCAAAAAAACAAATACCCAGATCAGATTATAGTGAAAGAATTCAAAAGCATGCTTTGAAAGTACAATCATGTTCCAGACAAAGCAAAAAATAAGATCGGATTATGGTGAAAAAAATTGTGGTATACAATGATAAGCACATACCCTTAACAGATTATAGTTAAAGAACTTAGAAGATGCAAATTTTATTTTAAAATTTTGGATCGTAATACATATGGTATAATTGGTATAGCTTTATATGTCTTCAAGCAACAGAAAGACAGTGAGATGATCAAAAAAGTTAGCTGAAAGAGCTTGATTGAGTCGTAAAAAAGCATCTTTTAGGACAGCGACTTGTAAATGCAAATGATCAAACGGACCTGAATGGCAGAACTTGAATGAGGGAAAAAAATAAAACTTTTTCAAAACCCCAGATCCAAAATCAACTCAAAGTTCTTGTTCATGTATCCAAACACAAATAAATATGATCCAATTTATCGTATTTTCAATCATTTCTCATCAAACTCGAGGAATTGAACCGAAAAATGAAAGGAACTAAATCCATTTGGGTCGCGCAGATCAAAAGGGAAAAAAGGACTTTTAGAGCTTACTTTAACACTGTCGTAGCCGGCAAGGTGGAGGAGGGCATAATGAAGCATGCATCCGTGTCCGGCGGAGAGAACAAAGCGATCTCTATTGAACCAATATGGATTCTTGGGGTTATACCTCATTACTTCATCGTATAAAATATGCCCCATCGGAGCACAACCCATGGGCAAACCAGGGTGACCGGAATTAGCCTTCTCAACAGCATCAATCGCCAAGAATCTGATCGTGTTTACAGACTTATCAACAAGGGACGTATCGGTCTTCTGAAGGGACTCCACTGCGGCCGAAGATATGATATGTCGGCGAGAAGCGGATACACGCCGGGGAGTGACAGCGCGTGAGGAGGGAGTTGAGGTGGATTTGAGGCCGGAGAAATGGGGATGGAGAGGGTGGATATAGAAGAAGGTAGTTGGGTTGTATTAGTGGAAGATTCATGGCGAGAGCGGCGGAGGGAGAGAGGGTGGTGGCAGCTTGGGATAGAGCGAAAGAAGACGCAGCCATGGCTCGTTTTAGAGAGAGAAAATTGCGGAAAGTGAGAGAGTAATCAGCAATGTGCTTCTTGTGTTAATATAAGTTGTTGTCTGATTGTGATTTTTGATCAGAGATT